TTTTTAATTGTGTATTTATAGGATTCCACAGCACTGTCTTATATTTCATATCTCTCCCTTCATGTGATGGGGAAAAAAAGATAGGTTTTCCTTCAAATCTATGGTTTTTATTCACATGCAAATTTAGTTGATTGAAGTTGCACTCTTTTACTCTAAAGTGTCAGTGAGTTAAAGGGACTTATTTCTGAGCAGATACTTGTATGTTTATGTTGTAATAGGACAGCTTTTTAGTTAGGTGATGCCTTGAGTTTACATCTGTGCTACACTATTAAATGGCTCTATTCCCCAGCCTCTCCAGTGATTATGTGTTTTGTTGTTGTTTTTTTGTTCGTGAATGGCTAGACTCCACTAACTGCTCTTGAGCTAGAGAACAGAGGAGAGGTAAAGATTGCTCTCCAGTATATCCCACAGCCTGCTGCAGGTGAGTATTCCTCTTTGGCACTTCCCAGATATGCTTTCTATGCTGTTATGTCCTCTTCCTAATTCCCTTTATTTAGTCACAAAATGAAAGAATGATACAGTGAGTCCTTAGTATCCGCAAGGATTTGGTTCCAGGACCGACATAGATACCAAAATCCATGGATGTTCAAGTCCCATTTATTGCAATGCTGTCGTGATAACCTGCACTTAAAATTGGGACTGGAAAATGAACGGCAGCCAATGGAGCTGCTGTTCAGCTTCAGGGGTAGACCACTCCCTGTAATTCGCCCAAGTTAGCAATCTGGCTGGCAATCGTTGGACCAATTGAAGTTTCTGGGTCATCTTCAAGGGCAACCCCACGTAGAGTGAATTACAATAGTCCAATCTAGAGGTAACTAAGGTGTGGACTACCATGACCTGATCAGACTTCATGAGGTACAGTTGCAGCTGGCACACGAGTTTTAATTGTGCGATGGCCCTCCCAGTTACCACCAACACCTGAGCATCGAACATCAGTGCTGAACCCAGGAGGACCCCCAAATGTGGAACCTGAGTTTTCAGGGGGAGTGCAACCCTGTCAAACACAGGTTGCCACCCTATACCCCAATCAGACATGTGACTGACCTGGAGGACCTCTATCTTGTCAAGATTGATCTTCAACTTGTTCACCCTCATCCAGATAGTCAGAGCAGCCAGGCAATGGTCCAGTATCTAAGGGGCTTCCTTGGATTTCGGTGGAAAAGAATAATAGTTGGGTGTCATCTGCGTAGAGATGGCACCGAACTCCAAAACTCTGGATGACTTATCCCAGTGGTTTCATGTAGATGTTAAAAAGCATGGGGGACAAAATGGAACCTTGCGGGACCCCACAGGTCAAAGGCCAGGGGTCCAAGCAGGTGTACCCTAGCTTCACCAACTGGGAATGGCCCTCCAAGAAGGACCGGGGCCACAGCAAGGCCATGCTCCCGAGTCCCATCCCAGAGAGCCATCCCAGACGGATACCATAATCGATGGTATCGAAAGCCGCTGAGATGTCCAAGAGAACCAACAGAGTCACACTCCCCCTGTCGAGTTCCCTGCAGAGATCATCCACCAAGGCGACCAAAGCCATCTCAGTACTGTGCCCAGGTCTGAAACCAGTCTGCGACTGATCTAGAGAGATTTTCAAGCTGTAGATGGTTGAATCCATGCAAGCAGAATCCATTCCATACTGATTGTACCCATTAATTTGAACAATACAACATTGTGTTCTTTTGTTTTGATTGAATGTATACGTCTCTTTTTGAAGGTAAAAAGACCCCAGCCACTGGAGAAGTCCACATTTGGGTGAAGGAATGCAACGACCTCCCAGTCCTCAGGGGCAATAAACTCAACTCCTTTGTTAAGTGGTAAGCATGCTGGTTTGAGAAAACTCAGGCTAGATCTACACTGCCATACAAAATCCAGTTTATCTGCTTTGAAGTGGAGTATATGGCAGTGTAGAGTCATAAAATCCAGTTCAAAGCAAGTAGTGTGGATTATCTGATTTGATCATCTGGATTATATGGCAGTGTAGAAGGGGCCTCAGGCCAAAACTAGAGACCTGGGTGCCCTCTGGAACAAAATGCCCTGATGTATTGCATGGAAGTGTTTGTGAGAAGATATTTTATACCTAATTGTCCTATGCAAAATTTTAAGTATAGGTAATTCTCACCATTAATTCCTAATATTAACAAATGGTCCTAAATTACTTGATTTTAATATTACCAATTGGAGTTATATCACTGCACATAAGTTTGCATCAACTGGAGTCATATTTCTGTAGGTGGATTTTCAAATTGATTAGAAAGTACACAGAGACTTCCATTTTATATGTACTTTTATTATTTTGGTTGGATTTTCTTTGCAAATTAATTTGAAAATGCACAAGACAAGATTTGTGCCTACTCTGTTTACGTCTTGGTTATAATCATGTAATTTTTATATGTTGTCCCTCTTTTGCTGGTTTTTCAACAGTCTTTGAAGGCTTACTTACTTAGGTGATCCCTTGTAGCCCGAGGATGATGGTCCTCCAAGTGTAGTGTCATGGCGATGGGTGGCTGTAGAGCCCTATTCTTGATCCGCACGTTCTCCCATAGTGAGAATATCAGTTTCCAGGTGGAAGGCAGTCCCGGTTGGGGTTGGCTTGACATGCCTTCCTCTTGGCACATTTCTCCCTTTCACCCTCCATTGGTGCCTCTTCGGATTCTGCAGCACTGCTGGTCACAGCTGACCTCCAATTAGAGTGCTCACTGAAACATTCCTTATATAAATTCACTGGAGTGCTTCTTGGAAAAAATATTTTTATACACATACTGAGATTCTGTCTCTACTTAATATCAATTTCCATTGGATGTTTCCAATATCTTATGCTATGTGTACCCATAGCTTAGAAATACTATTTATGAACCTATAGTTTGTTGTTGACTTTTGGACTATGGCTTGTTTAAATCATGGCTTATTGTGACATCTTTGTCCACAGTTACGGTTTGTTTCTGGCGGTATCCTCTTGGAAAGAGGAGATGACAAAAAGGGATGAGAAATTGGGAAGACAAGTCAAAATTTGTTTGGTTCTTTGCAGTTCATAGCTCAAATAACAAATCATGGTGAACACAAGCCATGGAAGTTTGGCTGATATTGATTAAAAGTATTATAGTTGAATCTGTGGCTTTTGTCTTGTCCTGTCTATGCACATCCTCAGTGTGTTTTCTCTCTTTTTATCCGAAGTACTATTCTGCCAGATACAAGTAGAAAAAGCCGCCAGAAAACAAGAGCCGTGTCCAAGACAACAAATCCCGTATTCAACCATACCATGGTCTATGATGGCTTCAGGCCTGAAGACCTGAAAGAAGCTTGTGTAGAGCTCACTGTCTGGGACCACAACAAACTAGCCAACCACTTCATTGGAGGCCTCAGAATAGGACTTGGAACAGGTGAGTTCACCTGAATTGACCTCCCCAAGTTCACTCTATAAATGGATGCTGTGTAAATTGGTACCTTGTTTTGGAAAGAACCAAGGAGACATAATGGATCAGAAATGTTGTTGTTCATTCGTTCAGTCGTCTCCGACTCTCCGACTCTCTGGTGTTTTTTACTCTAACTCCCACAATTCCTAACAGCCGGGAATTGTGGGAGTTGAAGTCCAAAACACCTGGAGGGCCCAAGTTTGCCTATACCTGAGAGAAATATAATACTGTTGCCACAATTACCTCGCCACTGTTTTTCATTCAGATATATTTATAAAATGTCATGTGAGTTATATTTCTTACACCAAAGCTACAGAATAAAATAAGCACAATTTGATGCAGAATATTGTAATAAATTTAGCTGAAAAATATTCTGAAGACTCATGTCCAGAAGCATTAGGTAAAGGATAAGGGATTATGTGAACTTTCAGACATTGTTGGACAGCACATCCAAGAAGCCCTCTTCAACACAACTAATGGTGAGGAATGCTGTATCACAGGATGCTGGTTGTAAAGTGATTTATAGTTTTCAAATCATGAACCGCTGCAAGCTGGATAGCAAGTGTCCCAGAAGCAAGCAAAAATCCAGCAGCAGATTTTTAGGTACTTAGGTACTGCATCATGACATTTCACAGCATAACACATGTGCTTCAGTCCATCTATCAGCAGAGTCTAACTGCCAGCATCTGACCCTATCTACTCGCTGTATTAGTAAACTCATCGATTCAGGTTTTCATCCAAAACCTAAGGCGTTAATCTTCATAGTTGCATTACATACAAATATACAAACAGGATACACAGATCAACTTTCCTTTTTCTTTAAAATAATCAGTCAACTACAGAACACAAGCAGATACTCACACTGAGTCACACAGGAGAGAGGAAGATGGATTCCTTCATCCTTTGAATGCAATTTTCCTGCTTCTTGGCAGGGGGTTGGACTGGATGGTCCATAAGGTCTCTTCCAACTCTACGATTCTATGATTCTATCCTCCTTATATAGCCACCAGCTGATAGGTCGTCAGTAAGGGACACGGGCTGATGCAACACCTTTACAATACACCTCACCTCATATGGTGACTCAGTCATTACCACATTCCCTTAGGTACTGCATCATGACGTTCACAGTCATACCCAGGTGCTATCAATATACCACATATTCATCAAACAGTATTTTCTCTGGGATTAGAAATTCTGTCCCATTTCTATCTATCTGGAGGTTGTATTCCCCAAAATATCTGGAGAGAACTGTAATTCTGATGTAAACCAGAGTGTTCTGTTGCGCGCTGGGCCTGTAAAGAATTTCCTTTAGAACAGGACGTGCAACCTTTGCCCAGCGGGAAGCCAGGGGGCCCAAAGAGAAGTTCTCAGAGGTTTTCCACCACAAATAGATTTTAGATGGTTTGTGAAGTACAACAAAGTTCTTTATTAATAAACAATCAAACAGGAACTTCTCTTTTCTTCAGTAAAGATAAACAAATGGTTCCAGGCTTTTATGCAACTGGTAGCTTCCTAAACCTGCACACTAAGGACAGGCAACTGTCTTCAATAACTTCTTCCTTACTTTAAAGGAAAGTCCCCTTTTTAACTTCTCCCAGGCTGACTGTAATCTAACCCTTACTGATGTGGGCTCCGCTAACGGGTCGAACTGCATCTCGTACACCGAGTGGACCTACCAGTAAAGGCTTAGATGTTCTCCAGCTGGAGTTCTTTGGTCTTTAGGGCTGTTTCCCTGGGAATCTTTGGAGACGCTTAAGACTGTTCTCCCCCGGAAGGTCTTGGATGCTCTTAAGACTGTTCTCCCTCGGAAAGTCTTAAGGGTTGAAGCTTTTGTACAGGGGAAGCTTGCACACATCCTGTACATTAGCTTTCCTTGCTGAGACTAACTAAAAATGGCTCCCTTCCTTTCCCAATTGCCCTGAGCAAGGGGCGGAACCAAAACTTAACGATGATGGACAGGTGACTTGTCCTATGACTGCAGCCAAAGGAAGCCACCTTTCTGCAGAGTCCCTGAAACCTTGGACTGCAAGCAAACATTTAATACAAAGCAAATAAAATTGGAGCTCCTGGTACAGCCGTACCAGAACACAGAGAGAAAAAAACATTCTTCTAATTTTGTTCCTTCAAATATTTCCTTCCTAGGAAAGAGCTATGGCACACCTGTAGACTGGATGGACTCTACATTAGAGGAATCCAACTTATGGGAGAGGATGATTGACACACCAAACACCTGGGCAGAAGACACGCTGCCACTCAGGATGCTCATGACGACAAAAATGACCAAATAGGATGATGCTTTGGTTGGTCGCTACTCTTTTGTGCGCCCTCTTGGAGCCTGAATGGTGACAAAAGGCAGGCAGAGACGAAGCAGATACACTTTAAGAGCAAATGTCTTTCTCTGTAACTTTGGCGTATGGTGTCTTTTTCTTCAATATAATTTTGTATCGTTTTGCCCAATGGTACCTTGATAATGCAATGTTAACTTCTCCCTGTCTGCAGGTACTCTTTAACTTAAGGTTTAATGCTCTATTAAAGATGAAACTTAAATAGTATTTAAAAAGCGCCACCTTGACTAAGACCTGAAAATAAAATCAATGATTTTGCTGAAGTTAGTTGAACTTCAACACATGCTATTCTTCCAATATGTGAAAGAACCTGGCAAAGTGGCACTGTTTTGTGGTGCTATTTATGTGCACTCGTTGCCTTGAAAAATTTTGATGCCCACACTGGGGAAATCAATAATAATTGCAAACCTGTCAAATTGTCCATAATATGTAATATAACATCTTGTTAGTAATCTCGACTAAATTTCAACCATTGAATAATTGTGATATACTTATTTGGTGACTCGCCATTCAACAGTTGATTTGGAGAGTCTATTCTTCCTCACATTTGCACATTCAAGCTGATATTATATGGTTGTATTGATTTCTTATATTTCAGGCTGGGACTAAATATTATAGCAGATATATTGTTGATCCTAAAATAACCCTCCAGTGTCTTCTTTTCTCTCCTCTTGCATTGAAAACCTATTCAGCCATTTAGTTTTAAACTTCGTAGATTGAACTAGGGATTTTGTCCTCTGGTTCTCAGCATGGCTCTTCAACTCTAGGTTGAAGGCATGGCCTTATTTCTACTGCAAAGTCTGGTTCTAGTCTTAAATGTTTACATTTTCTGTGATTTTATTTGGCCCAAACTGTTCTCCGCACTTGTCTTGTAGGCGAATGTTAACTTGCTAACATTGAAACCATGTGTTTTCTTTCCAGGAAGCAAGATAATATTCATTTGGTTCAAACATGACTCTTCGTTTTTTTAAATACACCTGATTTTTATTTATTGTAAAACTAACATCAAGCTTTTAAAGAAACCATGTTCACCAAGCTCTAAAATATGCTGCTGATCACTAGCTGGATGTGTCATGGTTTTTCTTTACGTTCTCTGGTGCCACCAATCGGGTAAAGATGGAAATGATGCCTGAATTACAAATAAACCTTTATGCAAAGAACTGTATGTAATCAAATGCTGAAAATATATGATGTTATTTGTATACAGTTTTCAAACTCTAAAGTCCATTAAAACTGCTTACATGCTCAAATGAGCACACGTTGAACTGCAAATTGCAGAAGCATGTGTTTTTGTCATTTTTTAAAAAAATTGAAGGTTTGGGTTGTTGTAGGTTTTTTCGGGCTATATGGCCACGTTTTAGAGGCATTATCTCCTGACGTATCTCCTGCATTTATGGCAAGCATCCTCACCCTCACTACCTCTGAGGATGCTTGCCATAGATGCAGATGAAACGTCAAGAGAGAATGCCTCTAGAGCAGTGTTTCTCAACCTGGGGGTCACGAGGGGGTGTCAGAGGGGTCACCAAAGACCATAAGAAAACACAGTATTTTCTGATGGTTATGGGGATTCCATGTGGGAAGTTTGAGCCAATTCTATCGTTGCTGGAGTTCAGAATGTTCTTTGATTGTAATAAACTATAAATCCCAGCAACTACAACTCCCAAATGTCAAGATCTATTTTCCCCAGACTCCATCAGTGTACACATTTGGGCATATTGAGTATTTGTGCCAAGTTTGGTCCAGATCCACCATTGCATGAGTCCACGGTGCTCACTGGATATAGGTGAACTACAGCTCCCAAACTCAAGGTCAGTGCCCATCAAACCCTTCCAGTGTTTTCCGTTGGTCATGGGAGCCAAGTTTGGTTCAAATCCATCGCTGGTGGAGTTCAGAATGCTCTTTGATTATAAGTGAACTATAAATCCCAGCAACTACAACTCCCAAATTACAAAATCAGTCCTCCCCCAACCCCACTACCATTCACATTTGGGTATATTGGGTATATGTGCCCAGTTTGGTCCAGTGAATGAAAATACATCCTGCATATCAGATATTTACAATATGATTTATAACAGTAGTAAAATGACTGTTACGAAGTAGCAACTAAAACAATGTTATGGTTGGGGGTCACCACCACATGGGGGACTGGATCAAGGGGTCACGGGATTAGGAAGGTTGAGAACCACTGCTCTAGAGCATGGCCATATAGCCCGAAAAAACCTACAACAACCCAGTGATTCCGGCCATGAAAGCCTTCAACAATACGATGGAAAGTTTAATTGGGGAGGTTTTGTTGTGCAGTATGGAAAGCTAAATTTACTTCCTATGTCCTCTTAAAGCTGAAATAACAACAACAACAACAACAACAACTTTATTTATATACCCCGCCTCCATCTCCCCGAAGGGACTCGGGGCAGCTTACATGGGGCCAAGCCCAAATAACAGAGTTAAAACATAGCACATTAGAGTGCATCACAACCATTTAAAACAACATAAAACAGCATTATACAAAATATAAAACAAGCATCAAAACCAACAGCAATAACATAATTCAAGCCTCCATATGGGTGGGCGGCCTGATGCACAACAGTTTGGAGGATAGGGCCAGTGAGTAAAGTCCATAGGGCGTGTAGCAGTGTTAAGGATAAGAGCAATATAAAAGAGGTCAACTCTAATTTTGGATAAAACGGTAGTAAAGTGCATAGTCAAAATTGTGAGTCCTAACTAGGGACAATATATATGAATTCAGTATGTGATACATTAAGCCTGCTATATAAATAGGAGTATAGTGTCTAGATCAGTGGTTCCCAAACTTTTTTTGACCAGGGCCCAACTTGACCAGGAACCACTTGAATGGGGACCACTTTGGCCAGGGACCACTTGAATGGGGACCACTTTGCTAAGAGAATACTTTGACCAGGGACCGTCTAAATGGGGATCACTTCACCGGGGAACAATTTGACCGGGGACCACTTTGACCTGGGACCACTCTCCAACATTAGTACCAAAAGGTGTGGGGCTGGTTAACTCTGCCAAAAGGAGCGGTAATAAAATAAATAAAGAGGAAGGAGGTTCGCGGACCAGATTTTCATTTTTGTGGCCCACTATTGGGCTACAGCCCACAGGATGAGAACCACTGGTCTAGATCCAGGGAAGCCATGCTATCCCTCTATTCTGCCTTGCTCAGAGCACACCTGGAATATTGTGTCCAATTCTGGGCACCACAATTGAAGCGAGATGTTGACAAGCTGGAAGGTGTCCAGAGAAGGACAACTAAAATGATCAAGGCTCTGGAGAACAAGTCCTATGAGGAGCGGCTTAAAGAGCTGGACATGTTTAGCCTGAAGAAGAGAAGGCTAAGAGGAGACATGATGGCAATGTATAAATACATGAGGGGGAGTCATAGGGAGGAGGAAGCAGGCTTGTTTTCAACTGCCCTGGAGACTTGGACGCAGAACAATGGCTTCAAACTACTGGAAAGGAGATTCCACCTGAACTTTAGGAAGAGCTTCCTAACTGTGAGAGCTGTTTAGCAATGAAACACTCTGTCCCAGTGTGTGGTGGGGACTCTCCTTCTTTGGGGGCTTTTAAGCAGAGGTTGGATGGCCATCTGTCAGGGGTGCTTTGAATGTGATTTTCCTGCTTCTTGGCAGGGAGTTGGGCTGGATGGCCCACAAGGTCTCTTCCAACTCTATGATTCTATGCTCCAAATAAGGCTGGAAAAGACCAAGAAGAGCTGCTGGTAGCCTAGATAAGAAATACTGCCCTAGATGGGCAAATTCTTGTTACTGTGACTCAGAAAAACCTTGAGTCAATGGTAGAGAAATTCTGGATATAAACTCCAGCTCTGTGATTCTACAACTCCAGCTGTTTTCCCCAATGATAAGTTGTAATTCAAGAACATCTGGGCAGCAAGGTTTCTCCATTCGTAAACTACTTGATGAGCTTATGTTAAAACACATTTTATTTTGGAACTGAATGCATTAAAAATCCTAGAAGTTGTGCAACAGACTAAGAAGGTCAGAGGATATTCAGCCTGGAATGTGTTGTCCTGAGAAAGGGCATGTCTAGTAAGCTGGAATGCTAAACCAAAGCAGTCTTACCCACATGATAGCAACTTCTTTGAAAAAATGAAAATAAACCAAAGGGCCAAAGCACAACTTGCAAACAGAAAGGTCACTAAACTAAAATCAAAACTGCAACAAGGGAAAAGTGGGGATTTCATTCCAATTATTACCACAGAAAGACACTGCTTTGCAATTAAACTTTTTTAGTAGGCTGATCTGGCTGGGGTGGTCCATGCCTTGGTCACCTCTAGATTGGACTACTGTAATGCGCTCTACGTGTGGCTGCCCTTGAAAACGGCTCGGAAATTTCAACTGGTCCAACGGGCAGCGGCCAGGATGTTAACTGGTGCTCCTTACAGAGAGAGGTCAACCCTCCTGTTCAAGGAGCCCCACTGGCTGCCGTTTATCTTCCGAGCCCAATTTAAGGTGCAAGTGCTTACCTACAAAGCCCTAAACGGTTTGGGACCATCCTATCTGCGTGACCGCATCTCCGTTTATGAACCCACGCGCTCACTTCGTTCATCCGGAGAGGACCTGCTCACAATCCTGCCTGCGTTGCAGGCGTGTTTGGTGAGGACACGAGACAGGGCCTTTTCTGTGGTGGCCCCCCCGACTTTGGAACACCCTCCCCAAAGATCTTAGACAGGCCCCTATGTTGGCAGTCTTTAGAAAGAACTTGAATTTCCAGGTAAATGTACGTGAAGCCATGGGTACCACAATTATTTGAGGTACATATTTCATTTGTAGTTAATCCCCGGAGTTGTAAGAGTCTTCTGGAGCTGCTTGTAGGTCTTGCAGGGGTGTGCAGCTCCCTTTTCCAGGCTTCCTGGAGAAGGGAAGTATGAGAGGGTTTCAGCTTTCTCAGTCCTGACCAGTTTGGAGGAGGCATTGTCTCCCCACTGGGCTCCCTTTTTTTTCTTTCATGTTTCCAAGTCAGTGATACGGAAGGCATTGAGCCCAGGAAGGAATAGTTGAATACTGTTTTGATCCCTTATTGCCATGGAGATGCAAACTCCAGAGGACTGTGAGACCGAGAATGGCCAAAGAATAAAGGCTTGGTAAGGAATCATTTTATGATTTCAGCGAATGACAAGTGAATGGAAGCTTGTGCATATAGTTTTTATTTGATGGGAATCTTTTAAAACAGAAACAGATTATATACAAAAGAAGCCCCTCCAAGTTAAGAATCTGTTCAAAGGAAATTGGATGCTCCCTTTCCTTTTTTCAAATGTTTGTTCCAACAATTTTAACAACTCACTTAATGTGATGATTTTAATATAACAACTCTAAAGTCAATTCTCCCATTTCATTACTTGGTGAACAAATTAAAAGCATATTGAAAAAGCTTGTGTAATTAGACCATTTCTTAAAATAAATTCTTATACCACTTCGGCTAGCTTTTGATTTTGCATAACTACTTTATGCATTCTACATTGTCAACATTGGCTTTCTTTTGGGTTGTGAGTTTTCCAGGCTGTATGGCCATGTTCCAGAAGCACTCTCTCCTGACATTTCATCTGCATCTATGGCAGGCATCCCCAGAGTTTGTGAGGTTTGTTGGAAACCGGGAAAATGGGGTTTATATATCTGTGGAATGTCCAGGGTGGGAGAAAGAACTCTTATCTGTTTGAGGTAGGTGTGAATGTTTCAATTGGTCATCTTGATCAGCATTTAATGGCCCAGCAGTTTCAAGGTTTGGCTTCTTACTGCCCAGGGGAATCCTTTGTTGGGAGGTGATTAGCTGGCCCCAATTGTTTCTTGTCTGGAATTCCTGTTTGTGACTCTTGCTCTTTATTTACTGTTATGATTTTTGGGGCTTTTTTTAAATACTGGGAGCCAGATTTTGTTTATTTTCATGGTCTCTTCCTTTCTGTTGTGGTGTGAGTTACCTCCATAATGTCTTGCAGAGAGTTAAGCAAAGAGGTTCATAATGTCTTGCAGAGAATTAAGCAAAGAGGTTCATAATGAAATATTTATCTACGTTTCCCAGGCAAGATTTTTTCCCCATTGCGTGTCTTGATAAACAGTAAAAGACTGCTCTCATTAAGTAATATAGAATCAGGTGCTGAAATCTCTTTGATACGATCAGTAGCCATTCCTGCACATAAATGCTTACTTTGTTTGGAAAGACAGGCAATTGCTTTAAGGGAGATTTATTAGTCTTTGCCTTTTTATCGGTGCATTCGGCTTGTAATTACTCAGAACATACTATATTAAGCTCTTTTGATTAATTAATAAGCTTGGTACCCTCAGCGAACTGTCCTTCTAACGTGCCAATAGTGCCTCTTTTTCTCCCATTCTTTTTTGTACCTGGTCCAACAATGAATTGTGCTAACTGGATAGGTTGCAAATCCATCCATGGAATATATACTTAGAAATAACTTTAGCAAGTATTGGGATTTGCCATTGGAACCTGCACAGAGGTTTCTTCAAGTCACCTGTTATGGAAACCGCAGGGATTTGATAGGGTTTTCATAAAAGTTGAGACTACAAGGGCTATCTAGTCCAATGCTCTGCCAGATGGCCATCTTCAGGGCAGCATATTTCACTGTCAAACAGCTTTGACCATCAGGAAGTTCTACCTAATCTTTAGGTGGACTCTCTAGTCTCCAGAGCAGCAGAAAACAAGCTTCCCCCCTCCTCAATGTGACATTTTTTCAGTATTTAAACATGACTGTCATGTCTCCGATCTCAGCCTTCTTTTCTTTAGGCTAAATATATGCAGCACCCTCAGCCATTCCTCATAGGGCTTGGTTTCCGAATCTTTGATCATTTTGGTGGTCTTTCTCTGGACACTTTCCAGCTTGTCCATATCCTTCTTGGATTATGATGTCCAAAACTGGACATAGTGTTGTTCTAAGTAAGGTCTGACCAAAGTAGATTAGAGTAGGACTATGACTTCCCTCAATTTCGACACTATACCCCTACCGATGCAGCCTAGAATTGCATTGGCATTTTTAGCCACTGCATCACTCTGTTGGCTCACATTCAGCTTGTGGTCTACTAAGGCTTCTAGATCCCTTTCGCATGGACTCTTTTCAAGCTAGGTGTCACCATGCTATATCTGTACATTTTATTTTAATTGCCAAAATGTACTACCCTACATTTCTCCCAGTTCAAATTCATTTCGTTAATTTTGGCCCAGCTCTCTAATCTGTGATGGTCATTTTGGATTGTGATTCTGTTCTCTGGGGGTATTAGATATCCTTCCCAATTTGGTGTTATCTGCAAATTTGGTAAGCCTACCTCCTATTTTCTAAGACAAGGAAGACTTAAGTGGTGGTTTTGCCATTTCCTTCCTCTTAAATATGACCTCCAGCACCTGATATCCACTGGTGGTCTCCCATCTAAGCACTAAGGACTGATCCTTCTTAGTTTCCAAAATCTGGCCCTTTTACGGTATTTAGATCTACCTTTAGGGTATTTAGGCCTACCCTTCCCAGTAGCTTTAGGCAAAAGCATACTGCTAAATTCCATGTGATTTGTTTTCCAGCAATAGACCAGAACAGATGTAATGAGGTCTACAGGCACCTGTCAAGCATGTTAGTTCTGTGATATCATGCCTTGTGATATCACAGAATTCTTAGAACGTTTCCACCAACGGTCATTTCAACTTCATCTCAGATGTGCCTTAGAAAAAAAAGTGCTGAAGATCTTTAGTTTGGAGCACTGAGTGCCAGCAACAGTTCCCCAACATGCCTCAGGATGAGAAGAATCCAGAAATGGGTTTTCCAAATACAATCCCAACAGAGGAAGAAGGAGATCTCGTAGAGTGGAATGTGGGAGAGCCCTTTGAGGCCTTGGAGAAACTGCAAAGTCTCACCAGTGAGGAGAAAGGAGAGAAAGCCATGCTGCGTGCACGCATCCATGAGCAATCTCAACTGATCTGTATCCTGAAGAAGCGAGCGGATGAACATCTCTTGCGCTGCAAGACCCTCGAACAGATCAATACGGAGCTGGAAGAGATGAGGATGGCGGATGCCCTCCAATTGGAGACTCAAACCCGACGTATTCAGCAGCTGGAAGAACGTTTTATGGACTTGGCTTCCAACCACGAGGACATGATCCACTTCAAAGATGAACACAAACGGCAGAACGTACAGCTGAGGGAAGAAAATCAGCGTCTGCGCCAGGAGAACCAAAACCTCTTCAACCAGCCTTTGAAAGAGAGAGAAGCAGAGCTGGAGCAGGTCACATCTGAGCTGAAGATGCTCTCTGAGGAAATGGCTTCCTTGAAGGAAAGTTACACGCAGGACAGTCGGCGGGCTCAGGAACGAGAGAAGGAGCTTCTAGAAGCGCAGAGCCAGGAAGCCAGAGTTCATGCTGAGGAAATGAAGTCCCTGAGAAGCCAACTGGAAATCCTTGGGGAGAAACACTATCATGTCACCGAGGAGCTGAAGCAAACAGAAAAGCAGCTGAAGGAAAGCGAGAGCAACTTGCAGGCCAAGCTTGAGAAGGTGATCAAGGAGAAAGAGGAGCTGCTGAAGCTGGCCATAGATCGAGGCAAGGCATTGCAAGAAAGGCAATGTGAGATCGTGCAACTAGAGAAGAAGGTGGAAGAGATGGAGAAAGCCAAACTGGAAGCGGAACAGCGCTTTGAGATTGAGGCCGCCGTGGTGGACAGTTGCCTCCGGGTGCGGGACCTGCAGCATCAGTTGGGCCGAGCACAGCAAGCGTATGCCGAACTCCGGATGCATTTTGAAGCTTACAAGAAGCACAGCACAGAGCTGCTCACGAAGGAGAAAGAGTTAAATGCCAAACTGCGGCATTTCATGGCATAGGTCTTGGTCGCCTGCTAAACCAAGCCGTAATATAAACCTTTCTTTATAATATTTAAAACATAATAAAACAAAGCATTGATTTTCTATCGTCATCCACATCTTTTAAAATCTATTGCTCAGGGTTAGGATAAACATACTTGTGTGATGATGATGATGATTCCCAAGTTGGTAGCTCAGCTCAGAGAAACACTGCACAACGAAAGCTAAGTATTTACAGTATTTACATTCCACCCTTCTCACTCCGCAGGGGACTCAGGGCAGATTACGATGTACATATACATGGCAAACATTCAATGCCATTTAGATATCTATATAAATAAAATGTAATGTTCGTTTGTGGGATTAACATAACTCAAAAACCACTGGACAAACTGACACGAAATTTGGACACTACACCCCTAACAGACCAATGAGTGACCATCAATCATAAACCCCTCCCAAAAGAACAGCAGAACGGACTTAAAATCCCCCCCAAAAGTTAAATGATGATACATCATGCGTGAAAACAAGAGCTACCAGCATTCCCTATACCAGGCCCTTTAGGGGAGGAGGATGCTCCAAATGCACTGCTTCCAAGCTGCAAGGTTTGCTTGGATTTCTTTGAGAGCATCCCAATCTATACATATTTCCTATTCCTGGACTGCAACTCCCAGCAATCCTCCAGATAGATAAGATATATAGATTAGATAGAGATAGACTGTAGGTAGATAGATCAATCAATCAATCAGGAGGACTGCTGGGAGTTGCAGTCCAAGAATAGGTAGAGAAGGAAGAAAGGAGAGAAAGAAAAAGGGAGGGGAAGGAAGGAAAGAGGTAGAGAAGGAAGGAAGGAAGGAAGGAAGGAGAGAAGGAAAGAGGGAGGGAGGGAAGAAAGGAGTGTTCTGTAGCGCACTGGGCCTGTAACAGCTGTACTTTTCTATACTTTGAGCCCAGCGGGAAGCCAGGGACGCCTCAAAGAGAGAGGTTCTCAGGGATTTTTCTGAAGTGATGGTCTTTAGAGTCTTTAATGATACAACAAAGTCTTTATTATGGAACAAACAACAAATCTTCAAGGCTTTCTTAATCTAGTCCTCAATGGACTGGTACCTGACTTTAATTAACTGAACTTTCTCTGTAGGAAAAACCCCTTTTAACCATCTCCCAGGCTGTTTACTATCGATGCCTCATCGGTGTGGGTCCTACTACCGATTCCAAATGCGTCTGGGTATTGAGTAGACCTACCAGCCGAGGCTTGAAGATATTTCAGTTGGAGTTCCGTGGATCTGTAGTGCTGTCCTCCCTCAGAGCATTCTTTGAAACTTCAGGGCTGTTTTCCCTCTGATTGCTGTGAAGCCGAGAGGCTGAGAGCTCTCAGCCAGAGCCTTGGGACCTTTTCCCTGGAATTTCCCGGATGTTCCTTTTTCCTGGAAGCTCTGTTTCCCTGGAAGCTCTTGAGAAAAGAAGCTTTTCTACGGGACGAGCTGGCCTACGTCCTATAGCTTAGCTTCCTTATGTGAGACTGACCAAAAAATGGCCCCTTTCCCTCCCAGAGCCCTGAACAAGGGGCGGAAACAAAGCTTAATTATGATGGACAGGAGGCCTGCCCTATGACTGCAAAACAGATAACAGAAAGAAAATAAAGTTTGAACTCCTGGTACAGCTGTACCAGCACAAGGAGAGAAGGGAAGATTGGCCATAGCACTGCGTGCGGGTACAGCCAGTACAATATATATAGACAGACACAGAGGCAATTTTAACATTCCAGCTTTCCGGCTTCATGAGTGTATGTTCGGCCACAGGGAAGGCTGTCTCTTCACCGTCCCCTTGTAACACCGAGTCCTTGATGGAGTACTTCCTCATTCTTATGCACGCTGCTGGAAGGTTTTATGGTGTCGTAAATTCGTTAAATTAGCCTCCCCGCTTAAAGCAACTGTCTTTCGGGCTGCATAGGTCGACAGCAAGCTACACTATTAATGGTCAGGAGCTTACTCCGACCCGGGCTGGCTTTGAACTCATGACCTCTCGGTCAGTAGTGATTTAATGCAGTTGGCTACTAACTAGCTGCACCACAGCCTGGTCCCTCCTACTTGGGGCTGCCAGAAGCTCAGTCCTAATTGGGACTGCAAGAAACTCAGAGCTTGGATATGATTCTCCAGTTGTTATGGGTTATCTACTGGCAGGGGGTGAGGTCCAAATTCTGCAGCCAGGTTGCTAACTGGAGCAGCTCTCAAGGAGCATACAACCGCCCTGTTGCACCAGCTCCACTGGCTGCCAGTCTGCTACTGGGCACAATTCAAAGTGTTGGCCTTGGCCTATAAAACCCTAAACGGTTCTGGCCCAACTTACCTGTCCAAACGAACCTTCGAGAACCTTAAGATCGTCTGGAGAGGCCCTGCTCTTGGTCCCACCATCATCGCAAGCACAGCTGACAGGGCCTTCTCAGTGGTGGCCCCTCGGCTATGGAACACCCTTCCTATGGAGAATATAGATCGGCTTTTATATTGTAACTGTGTTTTTGGTGGTATTGAATTTTGCCTTGTAAACCGCCTCGAGTTGCCGGAAGACTGAGAGGGGCGGTATACAAATACTGTAAATAAATATTAGTATACCACAATATGTATAAAATACACAACCAGTATATTGTACTGTTAGTATTAGAATTATACTATACCATAAGATGAAAGCATTTGTTTTGCGTATTCTTAACCCCAGGGGTCAGACTAGATAGCCTTGCAGTAGCCCCTCCTCAAACTCTATGTTTAATGAAGCCGCCACCATTTTGGCTCTTCGGGGTGCTTTGAAGCCACTGCGCATGCGCAGAAAGGGGCGGGGCAGTCTTGGGCCGCCATTACGGGGGAGTGTCGCGCCGGCTGTTGTCTGTTTCTCTCTCATGGGGAAAGCTTCACGGAGGTGAGCAAGACCGTCTCTCCCTCTCCCCCCCCCTAAAAATTCGAAGTGGTAGCGTCCGTCCATCCAGCCTAACGCAATGCTGGACGCTACCACGAACCGTGCGGGGGGCGAAGAGAGCTGAATAGGACTCGCTTTCTCTCTCTTTAGATCCCCCTGTACGAAGACGGAGTGGTAGCGTTCGTCCATCCTGCCTAACTTAATGCTGGACGCTACCACGAACCGTGCGGGGGGCGAAGAGAGCTGAATAGGACTCGCTTTCTCTCTCTTTAGATCCCGTTCGTCCATCCTGCCTAACTCAATGCTGGACGCTACCACGAAGCTTGTGGGGGGCGAAAAGAGCTGACTAGGACTTAAGAGGCCTGCTTGGTTTCTTTCTCTCGACCCCCCTGTACAAAGACGGGAGTGGTAGCGTTCGTCCATCCTGCCTAACTCAATGCTGGACGCTACCACGAACACTGTGGGGGCGACGAGAGCTGACTAGGACTCAAGGGGCCTGCTTGCTTTCTCTCTCTCGACCCCCCTGTACAAAGACTCAGTGGTAGCGTCGCCGCCTTTTTCTTCAATCAGGGCCGGCCACTACCATGAACTCCGAAAGGGGGGAAGAAGGGAGTTGAATTGGACTTTGCGGATTGAGGTGAGACTCCCCCCCCCCTACAAATACAGAGTGGTAGCGTCGCCCTGTTTTGCTTCCATTCTAAGCATTACTCGGGCTGTACCACGGACTCGAGAGGAGGGGGATTGGGCCTAACGTGACGCCATTATGCGCCAGAGCCTGGCCCAGCTCATGGCGTCGTCGTCCTCCGGCGGAGAGAGCCCCCGAGACGCGGAGGCGGCGTCCAGCCATGAGGAAGCCGCCCTTTCCGGCGACGAGCTGCTCTTCCCAGGCCTTGGTTTGGACCTCGACGGTTGGTTGGAGGCCGCCATGACGGAAGGCCCCGAGCCTGGCCCGCCTCACTGTCCTGATCACCATCCACATCCATCCCGGCCTAGCAACCGTCTCAAGGCGGCCGCAGCAGCACGATTGAACCGCCAGAAGAAGAAGCAATACGTCTCTGGCCTGGAGAGCCGCCTCCAAGGCTTGGCGGCGGAGAACCGGCTCCTTCGGGAGCGCAACCGCGGCCTGTGCCGGCGCCTACGCGACTTGGAGCGGGAGACAGGCTACTTGAGGGCGGTGTTGGCCAACCAGAGCGCGCTAGGCCGCCTCCTGAGCCACTTGGGAGCCGGAAGGGTCGGCATGCGACTCAACAGCAGCCTCTTCTCCCAGGAAGACAGGCCTGTGCAAGAGTCTTCCTCCAGCCTTGCCTGGGAAAACAGCAACAGCAGTGACCACGACTACGCCTTGCCCGTCCCAGAAGATGATGAAGAGGAGGAGAACGACAACAATAACAACAACAAAAGTGTGGCAGCACCAGCAGCATCTTCTCCCAGCCCAGGTGGCATTTGCCTCCACGTGGATCGGGACCAGGTTTCGGTGGAGTTTTGCTCCCTCTGCGCCAGGAGGGCAGCCACCAACTCTACTTCTTCTTCCTCCTCTTCTTCTTTCGCCTCCAAAATGTAGGGTCAAGTATTCTGCTCCTTCACAGAATTCGTGCTCTGGGTGTCTTTGTTTTGGCCTACCAACAAGGGGGTTTGCTAGTGGAAGAGGCAGTTAASTAATCCGGAATATCAAGGCAGAATAACCCATCCACACTGCCCTGTAATCCGGAATATCGAGGCAGAATAACCCATCCACACTGCCCTGTAATCCGGAATATCGAGGCAGAATAACCCATCCACACTGCCCTGTAATCCGGAATATCAAGGCAGAATAACCCACCCACACTGCCCTGTAATCCAGAATATTGAGGCAGAATAACCCATCCACACAGCCCTGTAATCCRGAATATCGAGGCAGAATAACCCACAATATCTGCTTTGAGCTGGAGTATCAGAGGGCCCTTCCAGACAGGCCAGATATCCCAGGTTTTCTGTTTATCCCAGATTTATTTTATTTTCGTATCAAAAGCATTGCATCGATTAGTATAAAACCAATAAAAATAGAAGGAGCGCAGGTGGCGAAATATCTTTTGACCAAAAATGGGCAACAGCAATGGCGTTGTCTGTAGCCTCCAACAATTCTTCCTCTATACATGAGGCAGGGCATAGTGGACAAGCATACAGATGCTGAGTTGTTTGTTCTGCTCCACAGTTGCACAAGGTGGAGGATTCTTCTAGGTCAGTGGTTCTCAACCTGTGGGTCTCCAGATATTTGGGCCTACAACTCTCAGAAATCCCAGTTAGTTTACCAACTGTTAGGCCAAAACATCTGGGGACCCACAGGTTGAGAACCACTGTTCTAGGTTTTGCCATTTTGCCAGGTTGTCTTTTGATCTGCCCACTCCACTTCGGAGCCTGTTCAGGGACTTCCAAGTGGCCCATTCTTGGTTTCCCCTGGAGCAGTGGTTCTCAACCTGTGGGTCCCCAGATGTTTTGGCCTTCACCTTCCAGAAATCCTCTAACAGCTGGTAAACTGGCTGGGATTTCTGGGAATTGTAGGCCAAAACACCTGGGGACCCACAGGTTGAGAACCACTGCCCTGGAGGAAGACCCTCGTGGGGTCAACAGGTGTAGGTTTAAGACATCTTGTGATTATTCTGCATTTTTTCGTTCAGTGCTGTGTTCACCTGCTTTGCATGGGCAGATTATTTGGCAGTAAGGACTCAATACAATCCAGTTTATAGCGGAAAACCCGAGCTATAGGGCCTGTCTGGAAGGGCCTTGAGTGCACACTGCTATATATCCCAGTTCAAAGCAGATAATGTGGGATTTTATTCAGCTGTGTGGAAGGGGCCTCAGAGGGAGAAGGAAGAAAGAAAACTAAGGAGGGAGGGATAATCAGAAATCTGGGCCTCATGAGAGAGTCACCCTGAAGTGTATAAAGTATCAAAACTCAGCATGCAATGGAAGTGCCTTCTTTTCTTACAAGAGGGTAATTTTTTTAAAAAAAGAAGTCTTTGCACGCATGTCTGAACAGAGAGGATCGTCCTAAGATATGCCAGTCTGTGGCATAGAATATGCCAAAGTGTTGTAACTGAGGACGATTGCACTTTTGTGTAAATGGTTACAGATGCCTCAGCCTTCCTCCTCCTTCACCTCCAAAATGTAGGGTCAGCTATTCCTCTCCTAGACAGAATTCATGCTCCGGGTGTCTTTTTTTTTTTTTTTTTTGCCTGCCCCCATCTAGGAGGTTGCTAGTGGAAGAGGCAATCAAGGGGGAAAGGAAGAGAAGGGAAGCAGAAAATGGGGGAAGTCAGAAAAAATGGAAGTGAAACCTTTGCATGCAGATCATACTGACTTGCTAGTCTGGCATGTAAAATAAGCCAAAGTGTTGTAACTGAGGACGTGTTAAGGCAACAATGGTCAAAGCATCCCTTGCACTTTTGTGTAGTTGGGACTTAACATCTGTCTCAGCCTTCTCCTTCACCTCCAAAATGTAGGGTCAGCTATTCTCCTACACAGAAYTGATGCTCTGAGTGTGGTTTTTTTTATACCTGCCTTCACCCAAGAGGGTCGCTAGTGGAAGAGGCAGTCCATCATGGGGAAAGGAAGAGGAGGGAAGCAGAAAATGGGGGGGGGGGGGGGGGGGAAAAATGAAAGTGAAACCTATGCATGGGGATCATCCTGAGATGCCAGTCTGCCGCCCGTAAAATATGCCAAAGTGTTGTAACCAAGGAAGACATGTTAAGGCACGGTGGTGGTCACAGCATCTCTTGCACTGATGTGCAAACGGTTGCAGTTGTGGAGACTTGACAGGTCGAACTCCCCCCAAAACTGGCGAGAACTTGGTGGCCACCTATAAGATCGAGTCTAGCCTGCTTTGCTGGGAATCCTGACAGCGCGTAAACTTCGACATCAACTGGACAGATTTAAGAGCAAAATAGTAGCGTTAAACCGTGCATGTGAAATTATAACGCATCTGTTATACATTACTATTAAATTTCTCTGACAGTTTCTCTTTTAGGTGCTTGCCCTGCCAGGCTCCGTTGTGTAGGGGTTAAAAGAAAAGTCGTTTTCCACCTCGCAACCTGGTAAGGATCCATAATATTCCCATAATATGGTGTCAGGCAGCTTTGCATTGATACTTAGTTTGATTGTTTTAAAATTATTTGGCCTGGACCACTCTTTGAAAGTGTTCAGAAGTGCTGTAGACATTGATTTCTGACAGAAATTGAGCAGGGCATGTCTGACAAGTCTTTAATGTTTCTGCACACTGAAAAAAAAACTTTAAAAATAATTGCTGCTAAGTTGTATATTTTGGCAATGTATGATCATAGAAGGTCAAGACTAGCTTGTTAAATTAGATGTTGAGGATATATCTTTATCTTTGGAGGCAGAAATAAGGCTCATTTCTCCAGTGATATAAAGTACGATCTCTGCAGTTAATGGGACCTGCGATTTCCAAGTTTAGTGTGAAGTGTGAGACACGTGGTCAAGTAAGGCTACTAAGCTGGGTCCATTTGTCTTGCTGGTCTTTCAAAAATTAAAAGTAATTGGGATTTTGGAGGCAAGAAACTACAGCTGTATTTTCACAGGTCTGTCAGTGTTTTATCACTGAACAGGTATAGACAATTTGAAACAGCAACATACAGAATTTTTAAAGTTCAGTTCCAAGTTCTTAACATGAAGGGACATATTTAATCTAATTTCATTTTTCACTATCCTGTATTTTAAACTAGCAGCTGACATATCACTAAGCTGATATGCCGTTTATGTTTGCATAATTTAAAGGGGGGGGGGGGGGAAGTAGGTGAACAAACTCTCCATACTGTTCATGGAAATGTCCATGTCCAGAACGGAAAAATTTCTAAATTTCCACTAAATTGGCTTTGGGCCAGTACCATGATTTTTTCTGCATCATCATTTTCTGTTTGTATTAAAATTAAATTTCTGTACATTGGGGAAATAAGGGTTGTGAAAAAAATAAATGTAAAGTGAGGTTTCACAAAGAATGTTAAATCTGGAAGAAGGTCCCTTTAAAGGAGGCTTTACTTTTTATTCTCTTAATTTTTTGTTGAATTAGAAGTAGTTTTGGAGATTCTCTCTTAATTAAATACATGCTCCCTTCTCAGAATTGATTGGAGTTCATGAGTTGCAACAAGAAATAGTTCTTTGTGAAACCTTGCTGTTTAACAAAGTATATGTATATTTAGCATCCTTGTTTTTTTTTATGCTAAAGTGGATACAGCTGTCATGGGGCAGAAGAGACGGGACCAGCTGCTGGCCACACTTCCTGCTTTATTTTAAAAGGTAGTATGAGAAAAAAGGGGGAAAGGTAACAGGGCATTCGCTGTATTTCACTTTAAAACCACAATGGCATAATATGAATGATTTTGAGTAGCTGATATAATCTGTGAAGAAAGTTAACGTAGCACTATTGTGAAAAGTAACAAAGTAAAAAAGCATGCACCTTCTCACCTATTAGTTTGCTGTATAGTCATTGTTTGATGGGCAAAACTTTCCCTTCACTGGGAATAGCAAAATACACTGGCTTTATTTTAGCAGTTAATTTTTGAGGTATATTTAAGATTCCAGCCAGAAGGAGACTTTAATATATTTCCAATTGTATGGATGTTCACATGTTGTATTTAGTGTAATATATTTATTCTCTATGCAGGATAAGTCACACTCATTTCTAGAGGAGATAGAAAACGGGGAGTAATCTCTGCTGGTTCATATCCAGAGCCCCATAATCTGTTTGCTCTTAATAGTAGCTGTGCTGTCGCACGCTGGGCCTGTGTGCATGACTGTAGACAGGATGTAAATTCTGTGTGCCCAACGGGATGCCGGGGCTGCCTCAGATTAAAGGCCCTTAGATTCCCCCAAACGTAAGTCCAACAAAGTTCTTTATTGATTAAAACAAACAGGTACTTTAAAGGTTTCGTAACAGTCTATAGGCTCTTTCAATCTTGTTCACTGGGAACAGGCACTATCTACTTAACTGTAACTAACTAATGGGGAAATCCTAACTTCTAATCTGGGCAGTCTGTACTTGCCTCTGTTGAYGTGGAGCCCCTGCACCAACTGCGTCTGGCTTCCGYGAGCGACCCTTGCCCCAACAGGGCTTTGTAGACCTCCAGGGAAAAAGAAGGAGTTCAGGTTGCTGTGATGGCCGRCTGAAGTCCTTCAGCCAAGCTGTGRCTGTATGTCTCCCRGCCAAGCTGTASGGCTGTATAACCCCRGCCAAGCTGTAGGGCTGTATAACCCTGGCCAAGCTGTAAAAGACGAAGCTTTTCTACAGGAGCCACTTCGTTATATGTCCTGTGCGAAAGGCTTCTCTGTGAGAACTAACTCAAAATGRCTCCTGTTCCCACTAAAACTCAAAAAGGGGCGGGACCAGGGAACCTAAYTATTATTGACAGGTGGCTTGCCCTATGAATGCAGCCAAAGGAAGCCACCKATCTGCAAAGTCCCTGCAAATTAGAACTATGAACAAACACTCAGTGCAAAACACAAAATTGGAGCCCCTGGAACAGCCGTTCCAGAACAGTAGCCCTTTTAAGAAGCTATCTAAATATCTGTGCCAGTGTTTGACAGACTGTGGACACAATTGTTGCAAATGAAATCTGTGCAAAGGATTTTCCTTTCCTGTAATTTTGCTCAGTGTTCTGCACATTAGTTTTCAATTATAATGTTACTTTAGTAACGTGACATGTTATTTTCTTTTTGGTAGTTGATTTTTCCAGTTGAGTAATTGTCATTTTCTACATATTCTTTTGTATGCATATTTTCTGAAGTTGCTGCCTTTTTACAGTTGCTTTTCACAATAGGCATATTTTGTTGATTGGACATTGATGTGAAAGTGAAAAGTCTACTCTAGTTTTCTTTCATATGAGTACCACATTTGGATAAAAACATCCTGGGTACTTGATTGCATCTTGTGTGTCATTGCCTCTTGACTAAGATGTTGTATTTGAATACAAGTATAGCTAATTTTTAAACAGGGGAAGTGACACATTTGCTTAGCAAAACCCCCAGAAACATGACTGCAGGGATTTTAGTGCCTCTTGATGCATGTTGAAGCCAAATCGAATTGCAACTTTTTCCCTATCTTGCTAATCCGTTGGTGGATGTTGTTAAATATTTCTTTGAAATGGAAGCCTTGAATTGAATAATACAACAGTACTTGAAAAGTATGTATGAATACTTCTGTGTAATTAGTTCTGTCATTCTTATGAGAACACAATGTCATAATAAAAAAGATGTATTTATCTTCCAGTTACAGACTCAAAGGATTCTTTTATCTCAAGTTATTAAATTAACTTAGAAGACATTTTAAAAGTCACTGTCTCTTTCTGAAAAAAATGGTTGTGTAGGAGCTAATAAACACTAGTCTCTCTTGAAGGATTACAAATGCTTATTCTTTGTTCAGGTTGGGGATGATTTAATCAGAATATCACTGGCAGTATTCTGATTATATTACTTTGGTAGAGTTGTTGCTCAGTTTATAAATTTTGTACTCTGTCCCTTCAGCAGCACCTTTCAGAGCAGAGTACTTTAAATTATAAAAATAAGACAGTGGCAGCGGGGGAGTGTAAAAAACTTTCTCAGAACATCAACAGGTTCAAGTTTTTATGCCATTTTGCCTACATGAATCATAGAATCATGGAGTTGGAAGAGACCTTGTGGGCCAAACAATCTAACCCCCTGCCAAGAAGCAGGAAAATTACATTCAAAGCACCCTCGATAGATGGCCAAAGAAGGAGCCTCCACCACATTCTGGGGCAGAGAGTTCTGCTGCTGAACTGTCTGCCTCAGAATATGGTGGAGGCTCCTTTGGAGGCTGAGATATTGAGCACAGTTGAGAACTAATATTGCCACAGTAATTTTGGCCAAAACCATTTTCTCCCAGGGTCTGTATAATTTTGCTTGCGTTAGCCTTTTGATCCTTCATTTTATATAAACATAACTCATAACTAATATGCAAAAGAAATTATTTCCATTTGACATAAGTGTTGGCTTTAAAAAATACCTTACACATACTTTGTTTAGCATGGGAATACATGGTATGGCAGCAGTGTATTATCACCTTGCAGTACATATTTAAATATTTTCTATTGAATGTTTTAAAAATCCAATGGTTGGGACCGGGTTGCTGATAAAATCTTTGCTCTGGTTTTGAGATACTTTGGCCTGGCTCTTGTGTTGCCATGGGTTGCCTATCTGCCCACCTATCTTTCCTCAAAGGACCTTGAGGTGCTGTTTAAGGTGTTCCTCTTTCACATTTTATTACTGAAAGAAATGCAACAAGAACGGTAATACTGCAAATAGCATGATAGAGTTGCTGTTTAATATGTTCAATAGTTTTTATTTGTCTTTGTCCAAAATCTTGTCCATTATATCACATCGTCTTTCAAAATGGAATTTCTTCAGTGCTTTATGTAACTGAACAAAAATGAGAATGTGGCTGTAACAAAAGATCTCAGTTCAATAATCTGTGAAAGATTATATTGCTCTTCAGCATAGCCTGTTTTTTTAAGAACGATCTCTGCAGAGAAATCTTGGTAATCTAAGATATATTATCATGGGTATGATGTTATGTGTCTCATGGCACAACCTTATTTGAAACACTAACATGTATTCAGTTGGTTCTGGTGTCTATAGTGAAGAGTCTCCTGGCTAAACTTGTAAGAGGCCTGTGAAATCTATATGGAGACTACAAGATTTCCTAAGGCATTCTGTTAACAAAAGGTGTCTTAGGTAACTTTGATAGGGCAGAATAAATAAGTGGCACATGGGACATTATGAAACTCCTGTTGCTTAAATCAGACTTAACAGAGATATAGTCATCTAGACATCTAAATCAGACTAACAAAAGCCCTGAAAGATACCTCCAGGAAAGAGACTTCAACATGATTAAAAGTGGTATTTTTGCTTATGGCTTCAATACTCAGTGCTCAATTACTGTTTAATTCAGGTGTATGGAACAAAATTGTTAAGTGTCCCAAGAATGACATAAATTTAAATAATTAAGATTGGGCAACTTGCACCATTTTAATATTTCAGACACCTCAAGTTTATAAATATTTCTGTATTAGAATTTTTAGCAAGCTTATGTTATATTGCATATTCTGTCATTTCTAAAATGTGGTGTAATGTGTATGTACATCTTAACACTGCAAATTAACCATTCTCTTGTTTCATTCTTCCCTTTTAAACAGTAGTATCATAGGTGGAATCATTTTTCGGCACCTCATAAGCTACTTGGAGTGAGATGGCATCAAGTAATTGTGGAGAGCCATAATAATAATAATTTATTTATATTCCGCCCTTTCTCCCCAAGGGGACTTGGGGCGGATTCCAACAAATGAAAACATCCAGTGCCTCCATACAATAAGAAATACTATTATTTGGCTAAGATCAAGTGTAGAGCCATATCTCACATTGTCATCCAACAAAATGAATACTGGATTAATATCAGTCTTACCATTTAACTAAAAACATACCCCTTTCAATCACTTATTTGGGGCATTTATGTAGAAGAGTTGTCATAAATGTTAGGTAAGGTTTACCTGCCTTCTAGGTGAAAGGTAATTTATTTATCTTGACCAAAAATCATCTTTTATTATCTGAATCCCTGAAGAGTTTTCTGCAAACATGGTTTAGGTCAGAAAGAACAACTGCAATTTTCCAAATGTTATACTGCAACATCCAGTAACTCTAGGCAGCATACATAGTGGTATGTAAACATTTGACTGGCTGTCTAAAAACACCTCCAAAGCTACAATTGTCCACATCTTTATAAAGTCGAACCTGTGAGTTTTAAAATTTAGAATATTTAAAAGAATTTTCATGATCATAACAGACCTTTTAGACTTGTCAAAAATCAAAAACCTACAGGTAAGTAGCGTTTGAAATAGGGGGTGTGTTGCTGAAAAATAAACAAGCATACCATTGGTTTTGGGCAGAAAACTTTTAGCTAAAGGACATTTGCAAAATACCATGTGATTTCTTGTACTGTTTTGGGTGTTGATGCTATGGCTGCAAACCGAAGCAATGTGAGGCACCTGTTGAACCAGACAGTATGTCTTTAGATCCAAAAGGCACTTTGTATGTTTTGCCTGGGTGGTTCTGCTTACACTCTAAATATTGCCTGTATAATCTACCTGCCTGTTGGCCATTTTTGGGTTAAGAGAAGCACACATGTATTTGGTTAACATGAATAGAAGTAGGGGAGGTATTCCTTTTTAGATGTGGTCCTTATACCTTTAGACTTTTGCTTAAGATTGATTATGCTGAGATCCCCACACTGACAAAATTATAATTTATGCTATTTCTGGGGATTAAAAATATTTAATGAAAAAATTGAGTTAAACTTATGTATTATTCCAGTTGGGTAAAAATATTTTAACAGCATAGGTTAAAATATATGAGTAAGCAAAAGGGCACTGCAGAAGGCGTCTGTAAATTCCTCTTGCCCAAGAAGAGCCTTTTTAAAATTCTGGTGTCATTTCTTCTTAGTTTAGATTTAGGGGATCTCTCAAAGATGCTGATCCTTACAGAAATTGGAATACTAGGGAAGACGCTTTGCCTACAGTTACTCACTTGAGTGCCAGAATCTTATCTCTCTAATTTAGACTTAAATCCTATTGTAAATCCCAGCCTCAGTGATGATACTGAATCAGTTGGATTTGTGCATGTATTGAGTCACCATTAATGATTGTTTGGATTTACTCTAGTTGGGACTGCCAAAATTTGACTCACACAAGACCTTGTTTACGGTCAGCTCAGCGTCAAGAACATACAAAAATAAGCCACTAGGTAGGGCTGGCCCTGTACTTTTAAAAGGTTCAGCAGCATTACTGTGTGGTCAGCAGCTTGCCTTCCACTCCTACCCAATGTGTTCGTATTCTAAGCTAGAAGTAATTGCCATTTTGTATCCTTGGAGATAAGGTAGGAACTGCTTGGTTCTGAACCCAAAGTACTGTTGCAAAATTAGCATAATTGGCTGTGGCTCTGATACCAGGTAGGGATAAAGTAGTGGTCAGCAGTGGTGAGCCATGCAAAAGTTAAACCTGTGAATGTGGAGGGCCTTTCTCCTTCCCTTAAAGATTCCACTTAAACGTTAGAATAAACTTCCTGATTGTCAAAGCTGCTCAGCAATGGAATGCATTGCCTCAGTGTGGTGGAGTCTCTGGAGGATTTAAAACAGGAACTGGATAAGGTCATGTATCAAAAATTTTGACCGTATTTTAGCATGGCAGGGGTTTTGCTGGCCCTTGTGATCTCTTCCAATTCTGTGAATTATACAGCATGTTTCTGATACTTCTAGCCTATAAAAACAACCTGATGTCTGGCAGATATAAGGAGTCACATTCCTCACAAATGGGAGAGGAATGGAGCAGGCAAGTCAGATTTCATAAATGTCTCAAACACTCCAAAGTCCAGTTAAGATAACTTTAGTCACATCAGCTACAATATATGTTGCCTCAAAATATTTTTTAGAAAAAGTATAATAAACACGTAGATATGCATGAGGAAAAAAGAATACGCAGTGACTACAGTTTCAAGGTTTATTCGAGTTCTTCAGGATCCTTTCCAGGTGCAGGCTGCTGCAACATCTTCAAATATATTTCATGATGCTTTGAGCTCAGATATGTGCCAAAGACAATTTGCAGGAGAATAGCAAATTTCATCTTGCTGAAAACTGGTTTACAAATTGACTTCCAGTACTGGAAAGTGTTTTCTTTACTTGGCATGGGAGATGTTTTGTACCTGGAGAAGGATAAGTGGCATTTTAAAAAATGGTAAGTACATACTTCAGTGGCTACAAAATTGCAACTGCTGTGCAAATCAGTTGAAGATAAACAGTTTGCTAGCTGAAAAAGAAGCAAGCGCTGAAGTGTGCCTAACATACAATATCTATTGAGTGTTCAGATGTGAGTGGTAGGTTTTCATAATGATTACTCATCAATGCATTATCTAACTGCAGTATAATAACTGGGAAACCATTTATGTAGAAATATGCTTAATAGGTTATTGTTGACAAGAGTGTTTTGCAGATTTTGTTCTCTATAGAATAGTGTTGTCACACTATTGACAGAATACCTCACAAATGTTAGAATCAAACACAAACTAACAATGATTATAATTCATTTCATTATCTATGTAATGGATGATAACCATTTTCTAAAATAACTCTGAAATCTGGAGCCTTGTGGCAACTGCTATTTTTCTGTGCATTCTGGTTTCTTAGATCAAGTCCTTCATATATAAGCAGTTTCCTCAGAGTTATGACAATGTTTTAGTCAGTGTGGTGTAAGATAATCACTGAAACAATATTTATAGATTTTTAAAAAATGACTTCTTCAAGTTCACACACATAAGTCCAAAAACGAGGATCTCTTATTAAAAAATAACATGCTTCATAAAAAAAGATTCTGTATCTTCTTAGAAGTAGATACTGATACAGTTTGTAGATAATAGTTTATTGTCCTCTACAAATATTTCCCCTAAAGTTTTCCAATCCTGCAAGCAAGCAACTTGGAAAACACTGCAGTTTAGCCATTTGCTTTTTCATTCAATTGAACACCACCACACTTCAAAATGGTCAATGTGCAACATTTGAAATATAGAGCAGACTTACCTTGATGCAAGAGCTGCATTGAGCGGAAAAGCTAGAAAAATAGGGTATGCACTGCCAACAAAGGCTCCAATTGCACCACCTCTAATCCAAGCACAGGTTGCACAGTTCAAATCACCTGAAGAAGGAAAGTGGACACCAGAGAGTTTGACAAGTGTATGTTGCTAAGCTTCCCTATTACAGGCTAGGATTTGACACCTGGTTTCATAATTTGAATGAGATACTGCTAGAATGGAGAGCCAGCAAGGTTTGAGTGTTGGAGTACAGTTCTACAGAACAGGGTGTGAACCCCTTCTCATCTATACAACCTCAGGAATGCAAAGGCAACTCCTCCAAACAAAATTTGCCAAGAAAACACCCTAGAATGTGTTAGGAACAACTTGAAGGCACATAAACTTCCAGGATAAATAGGAACCTGCTTAGATTTCCTTTGGATTTGTTGTAGTACAGTACAGGAAGTCTCCGAGCTACTAACAAGATAGGTTCTGTAGGTTTGTTCTTAAGTTGAATGTGTGTGTAAGTCAGAATGGATACATTTTAAAAGTGTAATTCCAGCCATAGCATACATATTTTGTAGCTTTGGATAGCATCGGGAAGGGAAGAGTTAACACTCCTGTGGTGTGTGTTTGCTGTCTCATCCCCTGCCCAAAAAATTTCACCTGGTTTCTAAGAAGCCATGTTCAGCAACTAGGCAATATAGAAGGTTGGGAATATGAAAGTTAAACTAAGTGTAACTAGTAACAATGTTTTCAATACTGAAGGTAAAGGCAAATGTGTCCCAGTTTTAAACAAAACGGCATATCATTTAAAATGTGCTGGAGGAGAATTCCGAGGCTCCTCTGAACTGCCAAAAAATAAATGCATTATAAACTAAATACAGCCTGGTTTCTAAGAAGCCACTGCAATTACATTGAACCCTTTGTACTTTAGCAATATCACGAGAAGATAGGACTCAGAAAAGGCAACAATGCTTGGTAGAAATTGGAGTGCTGCAGGAAGTGTGAAAGACCAAATTACAGGTGGGTAGACCCAATCAAGGAAGCCATGGCCCTGAGTCTGTAAGGCCCGTGTGGGGCTGCTGATGACAGGTTGACTTGGAAATCCCATTCAAAGTTGAAGTCAACTTGTTGGTAGTCAACCAGTCAAATTCACTTTCTGTTCACATGTACAGTATACACAAGTATCCATAGTCCCCTACCGCTAAATAGAAGTATCCATAGTCCCCTACCGCTATGAGCAGGGAATTATTTTGCTATTATTTACTTGTCAGCATTGGGGCAAGCCTTATTTAATTTCTGGGACCCACTAAAACTTTGGAAGCATTATACCATTCATTGTTGAATAAAACGTGTCCATACAAGTGAAACATTATAGTTTAGCTGGATGCAGAGAAACATACCTTCCATTAATGGCTGGTTAATTGATGCCTCGTAAACGACCATAGTTGAGATGAACGGTAGGACCACCATGGGCAAACCGGATGCAAAAGGAGCCTGGGTAACATGTAGGAGTCTCCTAACTAAAGTGTTGGCTACTAAGCCACACAAGCTTGAGTTTAATGAAAGGATGACAGATCCAGATTGAAACAGACTCCTGTTAGAAAGATAAAAGTTAGCTTAGCCTCATTTTTTAACTGTCTATCCTCTTGGATTTCTCCTGGAATAAGGAGGATCTCCAAACGCAAACTGATTTCTAAAATGAAGTGCAGTCCCAACTAAGGATCCATATTCAGCTTCCAAGCATTGACGGCATTTTCCCACATGGTATTTGCAGGACACACATCAGTGTATTGCCCTGCCTACTTTCTCCCAAAGTTCGTCTGCTACTTGTAAGACATTCACAATTGGTAAGTCATTAAAATCTGATTCTAAGAGGGCTTTCAAATAAGCACATGTACAGCTCCCTTTCTATATTGTGGGCATCAAACCTTTCTTGTAAAAGGTATTGGTTGCCTCAAGTCTCTTCCTACTTCTGGCTGGGATTTAGTAGCCAAAATGTCAAATATGGGGATTCACACATTTCTCCAAGAATTTAATGTACATAGAAAAAAAACGCACTCGGAAATGACTAAATTGAGCTCTGGATGTTAGAAAAGAAGATAATGCTTAGTGAAGTTGGGAGGCTGTAGGAAAACATTACAAATGGTAACATTCAAATCAAGGAAGCTACAGCTTTGAGCTTACAGAACTTCTGCAAGGTTATTGGTGGTTTCAGGTATCTCATTCACAAGGTCACTATATGTAACCTGACTTAAAAGCAACTAAAAACAAATGGTTTAAGTGAAAATTTGTCATCAATTTATGTTTCAGTTGGATATGTACTACTTTAATCCACAAAGTGTGAGACACTGTTCTGCAGTGATTTTGAGTATTGGATCAGAAAGACCAGGGTTTGAATGCATGTACACAGGAAGGGAATGACAAATTGCTTCTGAATAAATCATGCCAAGAAAAACCTAGAATAAAGCTACCATTAGAGGAAGGCATATGATAACATGTTTTGTAATCATCAGGACTTCCACCATGTACACCATCTAAGCCAAACTCTAGCATGTTTTTACAGGAGAAATAGTTGGACAGCTATATGTGAATGCAATAAACTTGGGAGTAATTTCCATTTCACCACAAAGCAAATGTAATAATGTATTATTTTGGGTGCTTAGATTATTTATAGTATAAGTGAAATCGTGTGTTATAAACATTGCCTTGGCTGCTCCAATCCCAGTAAAAATTGCTTGCTTGCCAATATGGTGCATAATTGGATTTCTGTTCTGCACGCAATGTAAATAAGCTTATTTTAAGTTGTTGGAATATAGTCTCTCTTCTGCCAGATTCATGAGCTTAGAGATTCATGGAGACTACAAGATTCATAGTGGAGATAATAGGACAACCATCACTACAGCTTTAACAAGTTATGTAGGTTGTAATTCTGCAGGCCTCACCAAGTGTTCATATGACTGCGGCCATATTTTTTTTTAAAAAATCCTCTCAGCTGTTAAGAAATAATGCAGGCACTGCATATGACAAGGCAAGAGATTAATTGTCTGGAAAACCAGAAAATGCACCCTCTTCTCAACTCCTAAAAAAATATAAAACTTTATTTTTAAAAAATCTCAGGCCTTGAGTTTAAAGCAATAAATACGAGAAAATGCCACTGGAATGAAAGGACAATGCTATTACTTCTGTGTGTATATATATGTTGGGGGGGGGGGGGAGAAATGAATGATTTTCAAATGGGGACTATCCAGAAGTGTGTTACATGCAAAGATCTGTTACTTACTGATCTGCTTCTGACAGGCGCCCAAATCTATCTTTTAAGATTTCATTTCGATCTCTTCTTGCAATATTAACTTTCTCCTCCAAAGCCGGTTCAAGAAATTCTCCTCCTGCCATTTTAGTACCTGAAACATTGGGAAAGTAATGAAATGAGGCTGTCTGCAAGTGTGTGTAAAAATCAGAAACACCTGAAACAAATTGAGTCAATTAAAACAGGTACACACCAAATGGCAAAAAACAAAAAGATTTATGAAGCTGTTAAAATCAAGAGTTTGGTACTACTGCTGTGCCTGTGGTTTCACTTACTACTCACACCTGATGAAATAGGTCCTTTCAAGGAATGTTCAAGTTTCTCCAGGTAATTTCCCAGAAGTTACCCTAAAAGTTACGTTTTATTTATTTATTTCGTACATTTCTATCCCGCCCTTCTCCCCATAGTTGTAGTTGTACAAGTCAACCACTTTGATTTACCTAGATAACTTGGCCTGAATCTTAAAGGTGCACTACACAGGTGTAACTATGCTGACGTAAGCAAGGATGGAATGATGGCCTTTGCAACAGCTATAAGGAAAGAAGCCACTGGATAAACAAACAAAATTTGGGGGCGGGGGGAGACTTCTTGGTTTGAAAGTTGTTTCCTGTTTAATTATGTGGTACTTACTTTGAAAGCAGTTGTTATAACTCCAGAAGTTTCGTTTTTGTGGCTGCCACAAACTCTTGAAGTGGTTGAGACTCTGAGAGATTCACTGAAAAACTATAGCAAAATGTGCTGCTGGGTGTCCTGCAAAAACAAAGATTTTGCAGTTTAGTAAACCTTTTCCATGTTTTTCTGACAGAACCAATTAGGAAATGACATTTATAAACCAGCAACAAAAGTCGTGTTACATAGTGTTACGGACATTTTCACAAAGGCACATAATAAGATTTGGAACCAGCATTAAAAATGCTGATTCTAAGCTGCACACTAGGCCATTCTGTGCCGCCTCTGCAGTGGGACAGCATCTGTTGGCCCATCTGTGCCAAAGCTGGTTCAGCAGGGCTGGGCATGGGCTCTGTTTCCCACCTTCCCTGCACTCGTACCCCCCTCAAAAGTACAGAAAATTCCCCCTTACCATCACTACCTGCTATTTACTTTGTTATTCTGGAAGTATAGGCGCCTGGGAGGAATAAGCTCCCTCCCCTCCTCCAAACTCCTTTGCTTCCTGAATGATGAAAAATCACAAAGTAAACAGGCAATAATAGGTTGTTGTAGGTTTTTTCGGGCTATATGGCCATGTTCTAGAGGCATTCTCTCCTGACGTTTCACCTGCATCTATGGCAAGCATCCTCAAAGGTTGTGAGGTTGCTTGCCATAGATGCAGGCGAAATGTCAGAAGAGAATGCCTCTAGAAATGGCCATATAGCCCGAAAAAACCTGCAACCCAGTGGTTCCGGCCATGAACGCCTTCGACAATACAGGCAATAATAGGAGGATTTTCTGTAAATGGAGGCAGGAGGGGGGGGGGGTGTTAGGAGGCAGTGAGCCACTGCCATCCTGCCTCCCCAAGCTGCCTGAGCCCACAGATCATAGGATGGCTCCGTGTGTGGGGGAGGGGATGCAATCTTAAGGCCTCATCATACGAGCATTTATCCACTTTAATCCACTTTAAATGCTGTGACTGCCTCCTGGAGTTTGTAGTTTAGGTAGGGACCTTTAAACTGCTCATCCAGAGAAGCCTTGGGCTTCCCTAAACTACAAACTCCAGAATTCTGCAGGAGGCCCTTGAATCCTGCATTCGGATATGAGATGGCAGTCCCCACTGCTTCAACATCAGGAAATGTCCAGAATTTGCCACAGGATACAGACCTTTCCCAATGTTTTTTCAACCGTGGGTCAAGTTACATTAAAGTTACATCCACATTCAATTGCATTAGTGTGTTGCACTGTATGGACACGCCAGGCTAATATGATTCTTACACTGCATTATATGGCAGTGCAGCTACCTGTGTGAACCTTGTAAAAATGCAACAGTGAATGGAGTGTACCATCAGGTTTTATATATTTTTATTTTTCCATTTGCTGTTATAAATTGAAAATACATTAAAACTGTATATTGAATTTGGTTTTCTTAATTCTCTAAAATCCAAGATAAACACTGTAACCCATATAATGAGTTTGGTGCACCAGTTATCTGCCTTGCACATGACTATGGACAAAACCAAACCAAAAATGCTGTAGTAGAGCAAAACTTGCCAAAGGGAGACATAAGATATACAATGGCTACACTCACAGCTCAGTGAATCAAGGGGGACAAATACATCATTCAAAAATTTGCAACTGCACGAGAACTGCTACAGTGTACATGGGACCCAAACCCCAAACATTTATGTTTCACAGACACCTTAGAGACACAGCTTCATATTCAATACAATATTTTCATTAATTTTGTGCAGGAAACAAAGTGTGTATACATGGAAACTCAGACAGCAAAGTTGGCACTGGCCCCATATGCACTGACACACAATGCAGCTAGAAAATGTATTATATGGCTAATAAACTGCATTATATTTCATAACTATGACATGGCAGTATCAATGGGGCATTTATCACAGCCACTGCTGTGCACATGGAAACTCCAGAAAGCAAAGATGGCATTGGCCCCATCTGTACTGCCATGTAATGCAGCTAGAAAATGTATTATATGGCTTATATAATGCAGTTTATTTACTCTGTGTCAAAAGCTTTGCAGAAATAAACAATATAATGCAGTAATCTAGATACAAAAAGTTCTGCTCATTTTGAGTGACATCATAACTCAAAAACTGCTGGACTATTTGGCCACAAGACACGTACTAACCCAAGGAGTGACCATCACTAAAAAAATGATTTTGTCATTTGTAGTTGCTCTGATTTATAGTTAACCTACAATCAAAGAGCACTCTGAACTCCAGCAACGATAGAACTGAACTAAACTTGGCACACAGGACTGCCATGACCAACAGAAAACACTAGAAGGGTTTGGTGGGCATTGACATTGACCTTGAGTTTGGGAATTGTAGTTCACCTACATCCAGACAGCACTGTGGATTCAAACAATGAAGGATCTAGACCAAACTTGGCACGAATACTCCATATGCCCAAATATGAATACAGATGGGAGTCTGGGGGAAATAGACCTTGACATTTGGGAATTGTAGTTACTGGGATTTATAGTTCACTTACAATCAAAGAACATTCTGAACCTCACCAATGATAGAACTGGGCCAAACTTCCCACACAGCACCCCCATGACCAACAGAAAATACTGTGTTTTCTGGTGGTCTTTGGTGACCCTTCTGACACCCCTTGCGCCCCCCCCCCCCCCGGTTGAGAAATGCTGCCTTAAGGCCATCCTATCCAACTCCCTTCACCGGTTTCATGAGGGTATGCTCGATTCCAGCCACAGGGGGGAGTGGCCACTTCCCCATCAACTTGTGACACCGTGTCCTTGATGGAGTACTTTCTCATTCTTCTGCACGCTGCTGGAAGGTTTTAGGGTGTCGTAAATTAGTTGCCTCCCCGCATAAAGTGGTACCTAAATTTCCTACTTGACAGATGCAACTGTCTTTTGGGCTGCATAGGTCAACAGCAAGCTAGACTATTAATGGTCGGGAGCTCACTCTGACCCGGGCTGGCTTCAAATTCATGAAGGTCAGTAGTGATTTAATGCAGTTGGCTACTAACTAGCTGCACCACAGCCCAGTCAAAGCCCTCCTGACAAAGAGCCATCCAGCTATAGATAGATAGATATGATTCACACACATTGACCTTGAGTTTTGGAGTTCTAGTTTACCTACATCCAGAGAGCACTGTGGACTCAAACAATGAAGGATCTAGACCAAACTTGGCACAAATACTCCATATGCCCAAATGTGAACACTGGTGGAGTATGGGGGAAATAGACCTTGACATTTGGGAGTTGTAGTTGCTGGGATTTATAGTTCACCAACAATCAAAGAGCATTCTCAACCCCACCAACGATAGAATTGGGCCAAACTTCCCACACAGAACCCCCACAACCAACAGAAAATACTGTATTTTCTGGTGGACTTTGGCAACCCTTCTGACACCCTCTCATGATCCCCCCAGGGGTCCCAACCC